ACTGATCTACCTAACAGCAGTGTTAGGTGAATAGTGAAATTCTGACTAGAAGTTGTAGTTCCTCAGGCCATGCTGAATGTCCATCTCACAAAGGGTCACCCCAACTGGGTCCTCTTTGGCAGTGGCTCACCAACTTTAGGAAAATGCATTTTTAATACTCTGGTTTACAAAAATCATATGGCCCACAATGCCTAAAATACTTATCTCTGCCATTTACAGAAAAAGTCTGCTGACCCCTGATCTCCACTATATTAGCTTACATTTTTTTTGGTATGTTCATACAGTGGAATACTACTCAGCAATGCAAACAAACGAACTATAACTACATGGGACAATACTGATAAATCTCACACACATAATGAGTGAAAGAGGACAGAAGCAAATAAAACACACTGTATGATTCCGTTTATGTACATTTCAGAAACTTGCAAAACTTATCTTTGGTGGCATTGGATATCTTTGGGAAGAGGAAGGTGATAGTGATTGGAGGGGTTATGAAGGGGCTTCTGGAAATGTTCTGATTTAAGCGTTGTTAGAAACATACTTGCTTTTTAAAAATAATTCACTGAGATGTTCATTTGTATTCTGTGCAGTTTTCTCAATCCACGTAATACTTTGTTCTAAAAGCAAAAAACTTTAAATGCAAATCTTACAAAAATGTAACCAGATGAAGAAATATAAATTTACCAGCCTTTTCAGAGGTAACTAAGTAAGTACATATGTACCCTGGTTGTTCAGATACAGTTAGTCCCTGGACCACACTTGGAAAATAGTGGTGTAAAGCCAGGTTTGCACCTGACACCAAGGCAACCATTTAGTCCCAAACGGCTTTCTACTGACTGACTTTGTATGGACCCGAGATTGACAATGCTTCAGCTTTTCCAGATAAATAGGGTCATTTTGGTAGACAGCAGTTTCAGACCCTTTTGTCAAAATAATGCTCTAGCTACTTCCTAGCCTGGAAGCCAAGGGAACACTGGAAGCCTCTTTTAATTACTAACTCTGTTCTAAGAATAAACTTGACTAAATTTCCATGTGAACCTTAAGCACTAGCTCAATAATCTTGGAGAAAATGATACCAACTCTCAAGATGAAAGAAGGTTACCTTGCTTTAAAACCAATTATCTTACCATTTTAAATAGTGTCAGTCCAAGAATAGCCCATAACTTTTATTTGTTTGTTGTTGTTGTTTTGGTCTTACATTAGAACATCCTTTTTGCTAAGTGGCAATCATTCTCTTCAAAACTTCCTCAACAAGATCCAAATGCCATGGCATTATGATGACAGTTTAGTGGACATCTGCTGTTTGTGTCTTTCTAGCCCGCATCCCCCCTTCTGGTAGTGGCACACCAGTCTTTTTTGGACTACTCCAATCCATTGGTCTTTGTGGAGGCTGCCAATCAAGGTGCCCTGCCCTTCCCTGGCCAAAGGACTTTAAACACATGACCCAAATGAGGCTAGTTAGACACTCTACCACCATCTCTAAACTAGGAACTCCTCACCAGCAGGGACAAGGTTTTTTCCATCTCTATATCTCTGAGGCCTAGCACAGTGCCTGGCTATGAATATTCAATGCATGTGGGCTGAATGAAATACAAAGAAAATCATGTACCTTAAACAAATGCTGAGCTAAGTCTATCATTTCCCAACAGAATTCTGAACACTGTATTATGTTTTGTAAGGAAAATGTCCACTTTAGTAAGCTAGGACATATGCATTGGAAATAGTATCGCAAGTTGCCATTTCTCAGTGCATTAAAGATGTCAATCAGTCCAATAAAATAAAGCCGCAAAAAAGACAAAAGGAGAATTACCTCATTACCTCAACATCTGCTTGAACATAAGCAATCGCACACTGGCTAATTTTTTTTAAAGGGACATAATATAACTTTCTAGAAAGACATAATATAGCTAATTATACCATTCACTAGAAGGGAACATACAATGTTTTGAAGTAATTCAGAAGTGGGTGTGATTTATAAGACATAGAGCTTAGGGAATGTTAAGTATAAATTAGAGATTGTTCATATTATGACAGACTCCGTCATTACATTTCACAACTTTTGTCAAAAGCAACCTTATTCACCACACCACTAAAGACTTCACATTAGGGAAGGCTGCTGTCAGCTTTGCCATTTAGAGTTGATGGCAACCTTCTTTCTGAACACCCTCCTGGGGAATGGGTTCAAATTTTAGACTTAAAATACACCAGGGAAGAAACGATATGATGAAACCTAAATGGCCAACAAACATGTAAAAAGATTTCAAACCTCACTAATTACCAGGTCAAACAAATTTTTTAAAGGTACCATTTTTGTTCATCAGATTGGCAAAAATTAAGCAACCTGTCAGGCTGTCAAATTAGTAAAGACTGCTGTTGGTCACTGTTGACCAAAGCATGGGAAAATGGACACTTCTGGGGGGAATGTGAACTGGTACAGCCATCTGGGGAGGGGGGCACTTCTGCAATGCCTAGCAAAACTTTATACATATATGCCCTCTAAGCCAACAATTCCATTCCTAAGAATCTATCCTAGAAAAAAAAATTTTAATTGTACAAACTGATTTGTATGATTATTTGATTAATGACTGTCTACTAGACAATAAACTTGTCTGTCTGGTTCACCATCTCTTCCCCCAGTGCCCAGCACATGGGCATCACATATGACAGGTACCTAGTATTTGTCAAAGGAGTAAATGAATAGGTTTACTCAGCCTAAAAAAAGAAAAGCAGAGTATTTAATCGATAATGGCTCTTCTTGTTCACATTCAATAGTAGTGGAATTATTCACAATGTTAACAGGCTGTAAAAAGTACTGTCTACTTTTAAAAATAAATCACACATACCGGCTTACAAAATTGATCATAATATTGGTAAGAGCCCAAACACCTAGTTGCCAGGTTTTCCTCCTCAAATCCCTAGCCTCCCAGTTAGTTCCGCAGGTTAAACAGCAATTAAATACTCTTGAAATAAGTCACTTGCTATCACAGTCTATGATCCACTGACAAATGCTCCAAGTTTGAAATGTATAAAAATTACACCATGGGCTGATAAAAACCCCAACACCTGTGTAACCAGACTCAATATCCTAAAAAAAAAGTATACGCTTTAAGAAACAAAAATTTCAAAGTCTAACTGTTCTATTGCCTTTGATATGCTCAAAATTGAGGAAATATATCCTCTAAAAATACTAATGCATGGATTTGTTTGTTTTCCAACATAACTGGAGAACCAGAAACTTAAGAATCGTCCGTTTTTCTCAAGTCTCAAATCCAACACAGAGATAGAGATGTGTTCCAAAATCAAATATAAATAACTTGTGGATTATCTGCACTGTTAAATTATCCTTGAAATTATATACATAATGAAAAGAAGTGAAATTTGAAATTTTAACATTATTTGAAAACTGACCATCCATCAAAAGACCTGGCATCCACTGACAGATACTACCAATAATGAAAGCTCCAACAGTCTAGAATATGAATTAAGAGTCTTTATGTTGGGTGACGGGGGCAGTGTTATCAGGAATAAAATACTAATAAAATCCAGCCCTTCACTAAAACACTTGAGAAATTCCAGATAAAGACATGTTGCCCACCCACTAGATTCACTGATTCTTGTGACTTCATGACCTTAGACTAATCTAGGATGGGAGTTGACAGTACGTGGGAAGGCAAAAGCCATTAATATTTATCCAGCACTTTCTAGATGCTAGATACCAGAGAGGAATGTGTTCTGTCCATTTTCGAGAGGTTAAATATTGATAATTTCCCCAAGGTCACACAGTTACTAAACAGTCATGTTGAGATTTGTTTCCAGGAGTGTGGACTGCAGAGGGATCAAAATACCCTTATGAATGGTATGTCTGTGGTCTCGAGGAGCAACAGGTCACAGTACTGGACAGACCTCATAAAATCATCTGGTTTAGCTCTTGCGCCTAGTCAGGTCAGGCTTGATTAACCATAAGACCCACGGCAGGGAAGAGACTCTTCCAAGTTCACAGAGTTGGTGAGTTAAGTCAAGAGAAGTGAAAGAGCTGGGATTAAACACCAGGATTAGCCACAGAGCGGGGCCCCTTCCGCTATACGGCCATGTAAGCAAGTTATTCAGGAAAACATATGTTCCTACACATTTTTACTTCCTAAATCTGCATGGTTCCTCTTTCTTGACCCATATTCTCAGGCCACCTTTGGTCAGGGTAATAATAATTTTAAATTTAAAAAGTGTTAGGTTCACATATGATCTTAATTTGGCTTTGTTCAGAAGTGTGGTTAAGTGATGAAAATCACTGACTACAACAGTTCTTTATTAAGAGATTAAAACAGTTCTTTATCTAGTTATCAGGCAATGCAGAAATGCATGTACATGGCTTTCCTGCGAACCAGAGACAAGTCCTAATTCAAGAAGCCCCGCACAGGCAGGGTGTTGCCTCACTGACAAATAAATTGCTAAAAATGGGAAGCGATAAAACACACCACGGCCTGCAAATCCTCGCTGCTAAGGAAAGAGGAACTAGGCCAAACCAGAATGAAAAGCTCGGAAAGGCTGTCAAGCAGCGCCGCAGGCGCCAACGTGCAAGGGGGGGCCGAGGCCAGGGAGCGAGGCCAGCAGAGCTGCCCAAACCGCCGCCTCTCCAAAATAACCAGCCCCACTCGCTTCCCCCGCGTGTACGGTGGTACCGTGGGACCTCGTCCCCGCCAAATCCTTGGCCCTTCTCCTCAACCCCCATGGCCGGCTAAAGCGACCAACGGGTAGCGCTTCCCGCCCTGCCGGGCACGACACTCCCAGGCACAAGCAAAGCACGTTACCCTCTGCCCCGAGCTCGCCAAAGCGCGCGGGGCGCGGAGAATGCTTTTCCACGGGTGACGGAGCTACTGGGGGTGACTACGACGGCCGCAATACCTCCCGCCCAGCTTCCACCACCGCAAAGCCAGCGCCCTGGAGCCGTCCCCGCCCATGGGCCGCGGCTGCCCGCACCTGGCGGCCACACGCCCGCCTACCTTGCTCCTTCAGACTGGAGATGAGCTGCAGCTGCTTCTCCTCGTCCGAGCTGTTCATTTTGGCAGGTGGGGCCGGGAATAAAAGGAAAGGAGGGAGAGGCGAGGGGTACAGTGGGGGGAGGGGAAAGAAAAAGCAAGATGCCGGTGGCTTGCGGCTTCACTACCCGGAAGTTGGATTTGCTCCCGCTCCTCCTCCTCCTGGCGCGGAGCGCGCGGGTGAGATCATCCCCACGCACCTACTCAGCGGCCTTGGCTGCTTCACCTGCAGTCAGGCGGAGGGGCGGGGACAGGCCGGTAGCCCGGGGGCAGGAGGTGGGGACGTAGGAGGCACCCACGGTGGCACCTGGGCCCGCAACCCGTGCCTAGCCTGCGGCCGCCGCTGTCCCTCGCCTTCCTCCGCGGAGGCCGGCGCCGCAGGATGCGCAGGGGGAAGGCGTGCGGGGCTGCGTGAGTTCGCTGTGGCTATCTCCTGCACCCTCTTCTCCGCCTCCACCCCGCCGCGCGTTCCGGAGAAAACCTGCCCTGGGTCTGCAGCGTCAACGAGAACCCCACTTGGAACGCTGTCAAGAGCCTCTCCCCACGAGCGAGATGTAATTAGCAATAAACACCCAGGATTCTTCCCCAATTCTCGTACAGTGGACTCTGGGGGCGGTGTGGGAAAACCTAGGTGCCCTCAGGGCCGGGCTCTGTGTTAATATGCTTTGCACCTTGATAAGCATACAGATACTGAAACAGGCCAGTCTGGTAAGTTCCAAGGAGGGCGTGGTAGTCAGCTGGCTTCCTCCAGCAACACCGGTTTGAGAAATGGTCAAAACTGGGCCCTGCAGCACGTGGATCGCCAGGCCTCGCGGATCATCTGGTTTGCGGTGGAAATATCTTCTCTTCAGGGTAGAGGCCACTGCAGTCCAAATACCTAAGGTCACACATCTGCCTGGCAGCAGAGCCTGGTGAAGTGAAGCCCAGCATTTGTCCCGCTTCACTGCCTTCTAGGCTATTTAAACCCAGGTCTGGGTTAGAGCCTGACCAGAAAAGGGGCGGCAGACCTTCCAGATTTCAAAATGGTTCTCCCCAACCCCCAGTTGCCAGTCAGTCTTTGGTCAAGTCTCCTGACCTCTTTGAACTTCATCTAAAAAATGGGAATAATACTAATACCTACTCTCCCGGAAAGGCTGTTAAGTGCTGAACAAGGAGAGAAAGATACACAAAACACCATATCCAGAATCTGACATATAATAGATGTTCTTTTTTAAAAAAAAAGGTTACAGCTCTGTGAAAAAGGGGTTGTGGATGCTAATTATAAGCTAAAATGGGCAGAGTTCTTTTACACTAATCATTAAGCATACAAAATAAATCCAAACTGAATTAGGCTTACTGCACATCTTGTTTTTTCTCACTGCCTCAAAGGTCTTAGTGTGGGTACTACACGAGCACAGTGCTTCTGCTCATTCCTCACTTGCTATTTTATGTAAATGCCCAACTCCATTTACTGAGTAGGTCTCCATAAGGAATGGGGAAGAGGAGCTAGAATATAGGTAAGTGCTGCAACTAGTATGTCTGATATTCCTACTAAATTCTAATTCAAAACGAACTGAAAAAAAATGGTAGCACTGCTTTCTCATCTTCTAAAAAGGCAATATAATATTTTAGCATGAGTGATTTAGTGGTAGAGTGATCTAAAAAGGCAGCATTTAAATAGGCAGTTTTTAAATAGAGTGAACTAAAATTTTGAAACTTTAAAAATAATTTTGGTATGGGGTCTTTTTTTTTTCTTTATAAATTTATTTTATTTATTTATATTTGGCCATGTTACACAGGCTTTCTCTAGTTGCGGCGAGCAGGGGCTACTCTTCATTGAGGTGCATGGGCTTCTCTTGCCATGGCCTCTCTTGTTGCAGAGCAGGGGCTCTAGGTGCATGGGCTTCATTAGTTGTGGCATGCAGGCTCAGTAGTTGTGGCTCGCAGGCTCTAGAGCACAGGGTCAGTAGTTGTGGCACACGGGCTTAGTTGCTCCACGGCATGTGGGATCTTCCCGGACCAGGGATTGAACCAGTGTCCCCTGCACTGGCAGGAGGATTCTTAACCACTGCACCACCAGGGAAGCCCTGGGGTCTTATTATTCAGTCCTTTCCCTAGTTTTTCTTAAGATAGTTTAAGACAGTTGCAGATCCAGCTGCCAAGAAAAATAATCAAATGGCCTTTGCCTTAAGATTAACTGAGATGGTATCTTAATCCTCAGAGTTTAAAGAAGGCCCAGGAAACATGAGAAATTCAGACTCAACTACATGAAAATATGAATGACATGTGCTGCCACCAGGTATTTTGTATAAAGAGAAATCATTTCCAGAAAAAAAAAAAATCAAGAGATTTGAGTAACAAATCATGGTCATCTAGCTTTCATACTGCAGCCAGGAAACCTGTTATACCTGATCAGTCACTCTGACTGCTGGATAATGCCAGAGTCCTCCTCCAAACCTAAATAATCAAATATTTTCTCCTATGAAACCAAATACCAGCAGAGTGCCTGTTAAATATTTGGGTTAGTTCACAAGGTTCCACTTTTTAAATGGTCGATTTAATTGTCTACTCCCATTATACAGTAATTTAGATATCACTTTTGGAGTTTAAGAATGAGTTAATCAATTATCAAATCTATAATCAAATTGAGTGCTTTGGTCCCACACAGAATCTGCAGCCCCTTGAAATTAATCCTGTTTCCCTTCCTTGAAATTAAAATAGCCTCCTGAAATACAGTATGGTGTTATCTTGAGGGCATGGGATGAATTATTAGGATGGCTATTAGAGTCAATTATAGGGATTCAGATCTCCCATTACACCATGGTTTATTTATATGATATGAATATTAATGGAAAGGATAGAAGTGATAATAATTAGTTTTTGTTCTATTTAATAATGCACATAGGGATTTGTGTTGCAGGCATCACAATGGATTCATTAACCTCCATATAACATGTAATTAAAAACCCTTAAAATGTGTCTGTACATATGCATATATGGACAGAGATAGGGGAAGGAGAGACTTTTTAAAAATGAGTTGAAAGGATATGTACCAAACTCAGGATAATGGCTGCTTCTAGGGGTAGAAAGTAGAGGAAGAGGCCCAAGGGGTGAGGAGTGGAGTGGGAGAGAGCAGTGATCAAAGGATTTTCTCTTTAATGTTTGTGTTTCCAGGAATTTAATGTAAAATCACATTACTGATGTAGTCTTTTGAGGTATATAGATAAATAAGACTGAAATACAATAGGAAATGAAGGTTCATTTCCTCTAATCCACTAATTCCATATTAGGGAATCTACCCTAAAAGGCTTTACTATAATGTTAATTATGATATAAAAATGATAACATTGGAACATTACTTAACAATAAAAAAGAAAGTTTTGATACATGCTACACCATGGATAAACTTTGAAAACATTATGCTAAGTGAAAAAGCCAGTCAGAAAACACTAGACACTGTATGACTCCATTTATGTAGAATGTCCAGAACAGGCAAATCCACAGAGAGAGAAAGTTAATCAGTGGTTGTCTAGGGCTGTGGGTGTTGGGGGAATGGTAAGTAACTGCTAGAAGGTATGGGGTTTCTTGCTGGGGTGGTAAACTTTTTCTAAAATTGATTGTGGTGATGGTTGAACAACTCCATGAACATATTCAAAACCATTAGATTGTATACTTTAAGTGTATACTTTGCATGGGAAAATTTTGTGATATGTGAACTATATCTCAAAAATCTGTTATAAAAAATAGGTTTTCAGAGGAAGAAAACTTTTACCTTAAAAAACTACTTACATAACTCTATTAAATTTATGTTTCTTGTATAAACATTTTTCCTTTTTCAAATCTTTGTATATATATACATTCTACTTTTTACTAAACTTTATTTCATATATACTTTATCTTGTACCAATATAATCTACATATTTACTCAATGCCGCTCCATTGTATCAATGAATATTTAGCTATTCTCAAATTCTTAAGACATTTGAGTTGTTACTAGTATTTGTCTCTTTATAAATAGTGCAGCAGAAATACAAGGACCACTCCTAGGCATATCATAGTCAAACTGTTAAAAACTAAATATAACAATCAGGTCTTAAAAGCAGCCAAAGAAACATGCATATTACATGCAGTAGAACAACAATAAAAGTGATGGCAGACTTCTTATTTAATGTTGTAATCATTAAAGGATTACAACAAAATTCAACACTCAACAATATAAAAAGACACAAATAGGTGAAAGTAATAAAACAATGAAAAAATATTCCATGCAAATAGTAACCAAAAGAGAACTTGGGTGGTTATACTAATTTCAGACAAACAGACCGTAAGTCAAAAACTGTTACAAAAGACAAAGGAGGACATTATATATTCACAGAAGTGTCAGTTCATCAAGAATATATAACAATTATAAACACATATACAGCAAACAAACAACTCCCAAAATATATGAAGGAAACATTGACAGAATTGAAGGGAGAAATAGACAGCTCAACAATAATACTTGGAGACTACAATACCTCACTTTCAATAATGGATACAAAATTCTGATAGAAGATTAATAAGGATAGAGAGGGCTTAAACAACACTATACACAAAATAGATATAACAGACATGTATAGAACACTCCAAACTATAGAGCACAATTCACATTCTTCTCAAGTGCACGTGGAATATTCTCCAGGATAGATACTATGTTATGCCAAGAATTTAGTCTCAATAAACTTTAAAAGATTAAAATCATAAAATCGTACAAATCATACAAAGTATTTTCTTCAACCATAACGGCATGATATTAGCAATCAGTAATAGAAGGAAATCTGGAAAATTCACAAATATATAGATATTAAACAACACCCTCTTCAATAACCAAAGGTTCAAAGAAGAAATCACAAGGGAAATCAGAACAGAAAGGATTAAAAACAAAAATATAACACCCCAAAACTTCTGGGGTGCAGTGAAGGTAGCACTCACAGGGAAATTTATAAGCTGCAAATGGCTAACTTTACACCTTGAGAAAATAGGAAAAGAAGAGTAAAATAAACCCAAAGTTCGCAGAAGGAAAGAAATAATGAAGATTAGAATGGAGATAAGTACAATAACACACAATAGAATCAATGAAATCAAAAGTTATTTCTTTGAAAATATCAACAAAATTGACAAATCTTTAGCTAAACTAATAAAGAGAGATGATGAAAATAAAATCAGAAATGAAAGTGGAGACATTATTACCAACATGACAAAAATGAAAAGGATTATAAGAAAATAATATGAATAATTATACACCAATAAATTAGAAAACATAGATGAAATGGACAAATTTCTAGAAACACACAAATGATGTAGACTGAAGAAGAAATAG